AATAATAGAAGGAATGTTCCTTTGTGTTAGATCCTTGTATTATAATCATAACATAGTAGTGGAGTAATTTCACAAAAAAAAATGTGATGGTAGTAATATATGATACTCAGTAAATCATAAAATAACATGGCTAACTCTAGCACATGATTGATACTCCTACTATATACTATGTATGTATACTAATGGAGCATGTGTGGAGAATGAAAATCAATCCAAAATTTGTGACAAAATTATTCACCTGAAAGTGTTTACTATTTCTTTATTTTCAATACTACCTAACCAGATCTTTACTTGTTCATTACATTCAGATCAATACTAAAAATTAAGAACCCAAAAACATGTTTACAATGATTTGGCTTACTCTGTTTCCTTGTAGAAGAAAACGATCAATGGATGCATGTCATATTATGTTGCATCCAACTAAAAACTCTTCGTATAAGTATTTTGAAACTGATAATACGTATATGTAGCGGTACTGGGCTCCACACATATCAATATTAATCAATAAACATCATATTATTTTGTGAATGCAACGAAGAGTTGTATAGACCACCTTTACCATTCCATTATTTGTAATTTATTTATTTGTTCATAGAAAACCAACACTTAAAATAATAAATAAAAACGAAAATAGAACTTAAAAACAAAATAAAATAATAATAATAAAAACGGATAAAAACATACAGCCAATTTTACAGGTCATGCAGGTTTCTCATTTCCATGAGAAACCTCTCATTTCCACATCCTTCAACACTAAAATGATATTCTAATTAATGCATACTGAAAGGCATGGAAAGGTAAAACATTTATGGTACAGACCTGTTCAGTGTGAATTTTATCCCAGTTCAATTCTACAAATCAGATACTCACACATTTCCCAGCTTGGTTATTATTGGTTACAGTATATGACAAAGAAGAATTTAGTTTTCTGTGAATCAGCACGACTTTGCAGATTCATTAAACCAATGGTAAAGATTGGAGACCCCGCTTTGTTGAGATACCAGTGCCCCCACATTTGTTAATTGATGCATGATATATAACCTTTTTAAATGTCTATTAGAACTTATTTAAAAGGAATAAAAATATTTTTGTTTATTTATCTGATGATTTAGTCAAACTTCCTTTTATAATATACAATATATCTTATTTATATTTGATTTATTAATTCGTCTACAAATACACTGAAACATCCAACTTAGCATACACAGGCAGTCCTTATAAAATAGTGACTAGGTAAGGTTAAAAGTACAGTGCTAAACACTGTAAAGAAGCTCTGTCACTAGATAGAAATGACGTCAGAATGCTGACTAGAGCCTTAAACAGGGCATTGTAGTGAACCTTAGAGGATGGAAAAAATAAAGGAAAGGAGCTGCCCTTTCTACGGAATAAACGTACCTACCTAAACCACAATTGTACCACACATATGGCAGATTTAGTGTTGTACCATAATCATAGATAAGTCAATATTGACATACAAATGTATGGCTTGAGTGTTGAAACTGTTTTTTATGTTTGAAAAATTGTATAGTTTACTGTAATCAAAGTATGATTATATTACTAGCCAAGTAATGAGTTTTGAATTTGATTAAAATTTATTTTATTCAAATTAAATTAAATTAAATTAAATTTTAATCAAAATTATGGATGGAATTGCATTATCATGTAATCTAGTTACATTCCAAGTTCTATTAAAATTTGACTCTTCAAAATGGAGCAAACAAACGAAGATGGTACTTGATTCAATGTTTATGTTTGGTAGTCCTGTAATTTCCAACTATTCTTTCTTTCTTTTTTCATTTGTAGGTAAACTTTAAAAATAATAATAAATGAAATAATAAAAACCTCGTAGTGAATTGTTTTAATAACAGAATATCGATAATATGTCTGCTTACAAGAACAACACTATCTCAAAATAATCGTTATCAACAATCATCAAAATATACTAACAAACAGGCAATCTAAAGTAACCAAAGCAAAATTCGGTAAGACTTACGAATTAACTTCTTAAATGAGTCTAATTACATGAGATATTTAGGCTATTGTATGATTTATAGACAGAAAAATAACACATGCCAGTGTAATGTGCCAGTCGGTTAATTTCCACTTTTTTACTGCCGCACCCCTTAATGCTGCAACGACGCATTTTTATCAATACTTAATTGTTCTCACTGTAAATATTTTTGTCCATTTCATTACAATTCATGCGAATAATTTACTAAAATATTGGTTTTGACATTTGATGTACTTCCCTTTGACAACTGGAAACAGTTATCAAAGAGTACTACTAAAATGGCAAAATTAGGATAGTTGGCATTTAAGATGACGTAACGTATTTTCGATTCCCGTGTTTGGCATAAATCAATGTAGTGCTATCTCTTTTGGTTTACGACAGCACGCAGTAGTTAAACAAAGACAATAAAATATTTATGTTATCAACATCTAAATGCATCATAATATACATATAACCTCTGATGATGTGATTTGGTTTCCATAGTCTAAGGCTTTCACAAGCACATGTCGAATGTTGGGCAGACAGAAAATAGAGTCTACTATGTAGAAAATATGGAAAATACATTCTGCCACGAGGCGGGTGAAACTTCTTTGCATTTCCTCACTCATTGCTGCCCTTTGTTGATAGTATGAGGTTACTTACTGGGAAGGTAGAGGCTACAACCAGAGGACATAAAGACTTTGAAAGCCAAGAAAGTCCTTCAGTTCTTTAATGCTGTTTAATAATCGGTTTAAAGTACCAAGAACTACCTCTTCATGAAAAGGCTCATGTGAAGAAGTAGTGACAGAGGTACATCAGAACTGCAACAAGAGGAGTCTGGTAACTATCATACCTCTCCTCACTAAGTGTCAAGGTGATCTATTTTTTGTTGAGCATGTCAAATTTTGAATTATAGCTAGTTAGTCCTATTCTGCCTGTCATATTCATGTTTATAAAACAGGTACAGTAAACCGTAGTGGTGAATGTTTGCTTTCCAAATCTTTCCTAGTTCATTCATCCTATTCAGTTTGGGCTAAAATGTCAGATACAACTTTTTACAAGAGACACTATGTATCTATTGAATTAATTTAATTCACATGTTATTGTACACATGTTTATTTTTTAAATGGTATTTGTTTTTGGGAAACGCAAAGAGAAAGCCATGTTTCTTCTACACATAAACATATACTTTGTTTTTTTATCAAGAAGGGTACTTGAGAAAAAGTAAGTAAAATTTTTTATCCTTTCCGACAGGTCAAAGTGCCTATGCTTTATGTACTTATACATCTTAGATTTTAATATTTCTGCAATAATTTAATTTAAAAGCAAAGCAGTCTTCTGAAATAAATAATTAGAAACCAGATGAAACAATAGTGTGTTTTCACCTGATTAACACTTATAACAATAATTAATTTATGCTATTATATTAGCTCTAAGCATGGTTAGTTGGATAATGTAGAACATTCAAGAGTCATTACAATTACACCACTTTCAGTGATTCCAAATGCAAAATCATTTATTGCTATCATTAAAACGTACAGAAATGAGTACTTCAAGCCGCGACCAAACAACTGAACTTTATAAAATACTTTGGATAAAGCAAAATTTGGGACAAAAACTTATGGCGTAATCTCGGAAACAGGATAAAAAAGAAATTAAACAGAAATTCTTTGTCGCTGTAAGGAAATGTGAAGTCCAGATAGCTAAGTTGTGTTCTGGTTGGTGATAAATATGTTATTTCCCAACAGCATTAGGCTAAGTACGCAGTTGTCGTGAGAAGATTCCGATCGAACGCGATAAGTTTTGATTGCCCGATTTTTGTCAACAACTTACCTGGTTCAGCAGGCTTGCCCAAGCACAGCGACAGGGTCAACAAGCAGATAAATATCACTTTCTTCATCTTAAGATATCGCTAAATAACAGTCTTTAACAATAGGTAATAAAATTCTAAAAAACTACCCCAATTTACAGCCGACAATGAAAAAAATGGTGAAGTGGCGACTCAGTGTTACCAAAGAAAAATAATTTGGTAACAAAAATGTATTCTAAATATCGGGAGATTTTGTGCGGTACACAAAAATAAAACAACATTTATTTTGTGTGAATATATTATTTTATTTACAAACTCTGTACTTTTTTAATAACAATTTATTATTTTTGCCATACGTATATTTTAGCATAGTAACAAACTCTTTTTATTTTCTTTAAACATCTGTTTATTTACTTAATCCATAACTTAACACCATTTTGTAATAAACTGTAATTTTTGAAATAAATAAATAAATAGTTAGGTAAAAATATTCAAATTGCCTTACGCACCGTCGAGATAGACTTATTTTAGTCAGGGAGAAAACGAAGCAAAAACATTCAAAGTAAGACAGAGACAAAGACGTAGAATAGAATAACAATATCGTTTCAATCAACCATGGTATTAATGCAGTTTATGAAAATAATAGTAATATGCGACCTGAGAAGATAAGTACAGCAAATTGTAATTTAATCAAGTTTGTATAATAATAATTTGAAACAAATTACCGCCATATAAAATGCTTGTAGTATTTTGTACGAAATAAGTAACAAATAACATTCTAAAAGTTTCGTAAATTCCCAATTAATTATGTTTTGACAACTTACTTAAAAAAGTTAATGGTTGAGTTAAGTTATATATAGAGACCTCTACATTGTTAAGAATTCCATTGTGACTATTCGAATTCTAACTGTATAAATAATTTAATTAATAATTTATTACATATTACCAATGTCACAATTTAAAATATAATGTCAATATAATTATTATTATTAATAATCACTAGTAAAATAATTTGTTTTTTTTTCATTAACGTAGGTATAGGTACAGTCAAAAGCAAGTCATTTTGTACGATCAAGAGCACGTCAAGCTTGACACTTTATACTTTGGACCGTTCTTATCGTAAGCGGCATACAGTTGGATTTAAATCATAAGTGTCAAGCTTGACGCGCTCTTGACCCTGTACTTTGGACCGTTCATATCATAAGCGGCACAGAGTTGGTGCGCTTGACCCTGTATTAACGCTTTTGGGTTTTATAATGTAGTTGATAAATTTCCATATACAATTTTAAAATATTATGAAGAAGATGTAGTTATTTAAAATTGTGTAAATTGGGAGATTGTAATCGTAAGCGGCAGATCCGAACATAGATAGATAGATAGATCACAGTTTTACATGCAATACCAATAATGTAATACTGTGATAATAGTAAAAAAAGTAAGATAAACTGTGGTAATAGGTACTGTGATAGGCAGCGTTACCAATGTTCGTGATTCAAAATCCCCAAAAACAAGGTTGAAATTTGGGGAGAGCACATTTCATATTCCTCACAAATTCCCTACATCTAATAAATAATATTTATTAATTCTCAGTATATATTA